GCGAGCGCGGGCCGAGTCCCGGAGCGGGGAGCGGGGCGAGCGCGGGCTGAGTCCCGGAGCAGAGATGGTTGGCCAAAAGGTTTAATCAATCATCTTTTTTAAAATAAGTTTTGTCTATTGTTCATCCCAAGCGACATTCATGGGTCAAATGAAACAGACAGCCGTAACACAGAAATGGAGGATTCAATGGTGGTGGCAATGTGAGACCACCCAGATATAAGTCCCAACCAGGAACACAAATGGAGAATCATATTGAAAGGGAATGAGGACAGAAATACATGTAGAAAGTGCAACAGACAAAGGATTATCTTTGTCATTATGTTTTGTTGTTTAAAGAAAGGAGAAAATGAAAGGAAAATGAAATTCATATTAAAAGATGTAGACTATGAGGAAAAGGCGTTTTGTTTATTTTTCATTAGATTTTCAGAGAGTCATAGAGAAAACAGACCCTTCAATCCAATTTGTCCAAGCAAATCAGATGTCCTAAATTAATCTAGTTTCATTTGCCAGCCTTTGGCCTATATCCTTCCATACCCTTCCTATTCATATACCCATCCAGATGCCTTTTAAATATTGTATTTGTACCAGCCTCCACCACTTTCTCTGGAGGCTCATTCCATACATGCACTGCCCTCTGCATGAAAAGTTGCCTCTTTAGTTCCATTTAAATTTTTCCCCTCTCACTATAAACCTATTCCTTCTAGTTTTGGACTCCCAACCCTGGGGAAAAGACTTTGCTATCCATGCTGCTCATGATTTTGTAAACCTTGATAAGGTCACCCCTCAGCTTCTGATGCTCCAGGGAAAATAGCCACAGCCTATTCAGCCTCTTCCTATAGTTCAAACCCTCCAACACCAGCAACATTCTTGTAAATCTTTTCTGACCCTTACACATTTAACAATATCTTCCATATAGCAGGGAGACCAGAACTGAATGCAGTATTCCAAATGTGGCCTAATCAACGTCCTGTACAGCCACAAAATGACATCCCAACTCCTATACTCAATTCACTGATTAATAAAGGCAAGCATACAAATGCCTTCTTCATTCCACTGTCAACCTGCCACTCCATCTTCAAGGAATTATGAACCTGCACCCTATAGTCTCTTTGTCAACACTCTCTAGAGCCATTAAGTATGTACCTCCTGCCTGATTTGCCTTACCAAAATTCAACACCTCACATTTATCTAGATTAAACTTAATTTCTCATCTCATCGGCCCATCTGAACAAGGTTTCGTTGTACTCTGAGATAACATTTTTCACTGTCCACTACTCCACCAATTTTGATGTCATCTGCAAACTTACTAACCATTCCCTCTATATTCACATCAAAATCATTTATATAAACAACAAAAAGCAGTGGACTCAGCACCGATCGTTGTGGCAAACCGCTGGTCACAGGCCTCCAGTCGGAAAAACAACCCTCCACCCTCACCCTATATCTCCTACCTTCAAGCCAATTTTGTATCCAAATGGCTAGCTCTCCCCGGATTTCACGTGATCTAACCTTGCTAACCAATCTATCATGCGGAACCTTGTCGAGTGCCTTGCTGAAGTCCATATAGACAATATCCACCAGTCTTCAATCTTCTTTATCACTTCAAAAAACTCAAGCAAGTTAGTGAGACATGATTTTCCTTGCACAAAGCCATGTTGACTATCCCAAATCGAATCCCCTCCAACAGGACTGACAAGTGACCTTATAGAAGTTTATAAAACCATGAGAGGTATGGATAGGGTAAATGGACAAGGTATTTCCCCTGGGGTGGGGAAGTCCAAAACTAGAGGGCTTAAGGTGAGAGGGGAAAGATTTAAAAGGGACCTTAGGGCAATATTTTCATGCAGAGGGTGGTGCGTGTATGGAATGAGCAGCCAGAGGAAGTGATGGAGGTTAGTGGAATTTCAATATTTAAAAGGCATCTGGATGCGTAAATGAATAGGAAGGGTTTAGAAGGCTATGAGCCAAATACTGGCAAATGGGATAATTTATTTTCGATATCTGGTTCGCATGGATGAGTTGGACTGAAAGGTCTGTTGCTGTGCTGTATATCTCTATGACTCTATAACTTACCCACCGCTGACATCAGGCTCACCAGTTCCCTAACATTCCCTTACCATCTTTCTTAATTAATGGCACCACATAAGTCACTTTCCAGTTTTCTGGCATCTCATCATTGGCTATCAATGATACAAATATCTCAGCAAGAGGCCCAGCATTCACTTCCCTAGTTCTGGGGTACACCTAATCAGGTCCCGTAATTTTATTCATCTTTATGTGTTTTTATACAGACACTTTTCAAGCTATCACTATTTATTTCTCCAAGGTCTCTAACTTCCATATTCTTCTCTACAGTAAATACCGATGTGAAATACTCGTTTAGTAGCTCACCCATCTCCTGTGGTTCCACACGTAGACAATCTTGTTGATCTTTAAGGGGCCTTATTATCTCCCTAGTTACTCTTTTCCTCTTAATGTATTCGTAGAATAACCCCATTTGCCAAAGCTATCTCATGTTACCTTTTTGCCCTCCTGTTTTCCCACTTGAGTATACTGTGACTGTCCTTATACTCCTCAAGGGATTCATTCAATCCCAGCTGTCTGTACCTGCCACATTCCTCCTTGCTTTTCTTGCCCGAACCTCAATTTTTCTAGTTGTCCAGCATTCCCTACACCTGCCAGGCTTGTCCTTCACACTAACAGGACAAAACTGTCTCTGGACTCTTGTTACCTCATTTTTGAAGGCCTCCTATTTTCCAATTACCCAACTGTCCCTTTACCTGCGAATAGCTTCTCCTGATCAATTTTTGAAAGTTCTTGCTTAACGCCGTCAAAATTGGCCTTACTCCGGTTTAGAAATTTAACTTTGAGATCAGGTCTATCCTTTTCCACCACTATTTTAAAACTAATAGAATTATGACCACTTGCCCCTAAAGTGCTCCCCCATTGGCACCTCGGTCACTTGCCCTGCCTTATTTCCCAAGAGAAGGTCAAGTTTTACTCCTTCTCTCGGTGGTACATCCACATACTGAATCACAAAGTTTTCTTGTGCACATTTAACAAATTACTCTCCACACAAGCTCTTCACACTTTGGCATTCCCAGTGTATGCTTGGAAAGTTAAAATCCCCAATCATTATAACCCTATTGTACTTAGGGATATCTGAGATCTCCTTGCAAATTTGTTTCTCAATTTCCCACCAACTACTGGGGGGTGTATAGTACAATCCCAATAAGGTGATCATCCCTTTCTTATTTCTTAGATCCACCTAGGTACCTGACTCCCAGGAATATCCTCCCTAAATACAGCTGTAATGTTATCAAAAATGCCACTACTCCTCTTCCTTTCCTGGCACCTCCCCCCAAGTCCCCACCACTCCCTACTGTCTGTCTTTCTTATAGCATATATAACCTGGAACATTAAGTCACCATGAGATAACAAGGTGTAGAGCTGGATGAACACAGCATGCCAAGCAGCATCAGAGGAGCAGGAAGGCTGACGTTTCGGGCCTAGACCCTTCTTCAGAAATGGGGGAGGGGAAGGGGGTTCTGAAATAAATAGGGAGGGGGGAGGCGGATAGAAGATGGATAGAGGAGAAGATAGGTGGAGAGGAGACAGACCGGTCAAAGAGGCGGGGATGGCGCCAGTAAAGGTGCGTGTCGGTGGGGAGGTAGAGAGGAGATAGGTCAGTCCAGGGAGGATGGACAGGTCAAGGGGGCAGGATGAGGTTAGTAGGTAGGAGATGGGGGTGCGGCTTGAGGTGGGAGGAGGGGATAAGTGGGAGGAAGGACAGGTTAGGGAGGCGGGGACGAGCTGGTCTGGTTTTGGGATGCGGTAGGGGGAGGGGAGATTTTGAAGCTTGTGAAGTCCATTTTG